TCCCAAACAACTGGATAAAAGTCAAAAAGTCATAAAAAATTTTCCACCGCCTGAGGGAGGGCACGGTGACCGCGCAGCCCCACAGCGAGGAACCCCAAATTGGGGTAGGGGGGGGCCCAGTCCCAGAAAAACAAGGATTTGGGTTTGATATAGTGAATAAAAGTGGTGTTTTGCTCCTGGGCAACCCCTGGCACCAACCAGCCCCGTGGCAAATGCCACACCAGTAGCCCCAGTTGCCATATTGGGGCTTGTGGGGTGTCTCGGTGAGCACCGTGATGCCCCCTCGCAGCGGCACCGTGCTCCCAGGGCACGCAAAACTGCTCCAAACCCTGGGTTTTTTTGGCATAAACCAGTTCCCCCCCCCATTTTCTCCACAGTTTTCCCCAAAATGCCGGCCTGGCTGCCAATCCGGGAAAAAGCTGTGATTCCTGTCGAGCTGGCGGGGAAAGCCCCGGCGCAGGGATGCGGGGACTTTGCCTGTGGTTTCCGTGGGCGGCAGCGGCTCCGGCAAACAGGCGGCTGAGTCAGCGGGCGAAGGACGGCCGCGGTGCCGCCCTGGCATGTCGGGGTGCAGGGCTGCTTCCCGGCAGCCTGGCAGAGCCGTGCCATGTGGAATCGGGGGGGGACCCCGGAGATGCTGCCGGGATCCAGCTGTGTTCTTTGCAGCTCCGAAGGTTGGAGCTAAACGAAACCGGTGCTGCCAGGGGACTGTGTGAGCATCCCCGAGGTGCTCAGGGACCTGCTGGCACAGCCTGGGGACAACCAGGTCCTCGTGGTCCTGAGCACCCATCAGTGCTGACCCCCTGCTCCTCGGGGGGGTGAACCTGGCTTCGGACCCTCTGTGAAGATGCTGAATTTGGGCAGTGGATTGACCCTGTCCCCAGTGTGGGGACAGTGTGGGACATCCCTCTTTGGGCAAAATCCAGATTTATCATCCCCACTCGCCCGTCCTGCAAAGAGACCTGGTGCCACCACAGTGGGTGTTGCTGCTGAGGGACCACGTGAGTGTCCCCAAGGTGCTCAGGGACCCACTGGCACAGCCTGGAGACAACCAGGTCCCTGTGGTCCCGAGCACCCATCAGTTCTGACCCCGTGCTCCATGGGGATGTGACCCTCTGCAAAGATGCTGAAGCGGATTGACCCTGTCCCCAATGTGGGGACAACATGGGACTTGGGGAAAAATCCAGATTTATCATCCCCACCCACTCATCCTGCAAAGAGACCTGGTGCCCCCACGGTGGATGTTGCTGCCAGGGGACTGTGTGAGTGTCCCCAAGGTGCTCAGAGACCCACTGGCACAGTCTGGGGACAACCAGGTCCCCATGGTCCCGAGCACCCATCAGTGCTGACCCCCTGCTCCTTGGGGGTGTGAACCCAGCTTTGGACCATCTGCAAAGATGCTGAATTTGGGCAGCGGATCAACCCTGTCCCCAGCGTGGGGACAGCATGGGACATCCCCCTTCGGCAAAATCCAGATTTATCATCCCCACCCACTCATCCTGCAAAGAGACCTGGTGCCCCCACGGTGGATGTTGCTGCCAGGGGACTGTGTGAGTGTCCCCAAGGTGCTCAGAGACCCACTGGCACAGTCTGGGGACAACCAGGTCCCCATGGTCCCGAGCACCCATCAGTGCTGACCCCCTGCTCCTTGGGGGTGTGAACCCAGCTTTGGACCATCTGCAAAGATGCTGAATTTGGGCAGCGGATCAACCCTGTCCCCAGCGTGGGGACAGCATGGGACATCCCCCTTCGGGCAAAATCCAGATTTATCATCCCCACCCACCCATCCTGCAAAGAGACCTGGTGCCCCCACGGTGGGTGTTGCTGCCAGGGGACCATGTGAGTGTCCCCAAGGTGCTCAGGCTTCGGCCCCTCTGCGAAGATGCTGAATTTGGGCAGCGGATCGACCCCATCCCCAGTGTGGGGACAACATGGGACTTGGGGCAGAATCCAGATTTATCATCCCCACCCGTCCTGCAAACAGACCGGCCCCCAGTGCCCCCACGGTGGGTGTTTTGGGAGCTGAGCCCAGCTGGGACGGGGGAAGGCGGCGCTTGTTTTGGGAGCTGGAGGGGAGCCCGGGGCTGGGAGGCAGCAGCCGCGCAGATAATCCCCGGCCCTCGCGAGGCTGCGCCGGCACATTCTGTCCCTGCCAGCCCTGGGGACGGCGGCGAGCTTGGCGTGTCACCCTCCCCAGCCCTGCGGCCCCCCCGCCACTGACCCCCCGCCGGAGGACAACAGCCTCAAGGGAAGGCCACGGCCACCACGCCGGGACCGAGCATCCTCCGGGGACTAGGGAGGCACTGGGGGGAAGGAGAAGCCCCCCCAAGTGTGCTGCGGGAGGGGGCTGTGGGGCCATGAGCTGCAGCGGGGGGGTCTTGACACCCTGCAGGGTCCTGAGTGCAGAGAGAGGGGGTCTTGACACCCTGCAGAGCCCTGAGCTGCAACGGGGGGGTCTTGACACCCTGCAGGGTCCTGAGCTGCAACGGGGGGTCTTGACACCCTGCAGGGTCCTGAGCTGCAATGGGGGGGTCTTGACACCCTGCAGGGTCCTGAGCTGCAGGAAGGGGGGTCCTGACACTCTGCAGAGCCCTGAGCTGTACTGGGGGGGTCTTGACACCCTGCAGGGTCCTGAGCTGCAACGGGGGGTTCTGACACCCTGCAGGGTCCTGAGCTGCAATGAGGGGGTCCTGACACCCTGCAGGGTCCTGAGCTGCAACCAGGGGGTCCTAGAACCCTGCAGAGCCCTGAGCTGTAACAGGGGGGGTCTTGACATCCTGCAGGGTCCTGAGTGCAGAAGGGGGGGTCCTGACACTCTGCAGAGCCCTGAGCTGCAACGGGGGGGTCCCAGAACCCTGCAGAGCCCCAGGCTGCACTGGGGGGGGGTCCCAGCACCCCTGTGCCTGAGGCAGAGAGGTGCCACATTTTGGGGGGCTGAAGGGCGATAAGGAAAAGCGAGAAGAGCAGAGCTGGGAAGGGGGGGGAGGTTGGGGGGGTGGTGTTTCCATGCCCCTTGCAAGGAGCAGATTTTGCCGGGTGGTCTGGGAAGCATTTTCCGACGCGCGGGGCCAAGAGCTATAAATACTCCCAACACTGTAATTGCGTGATGCCACTCCTGCCCGGCGGCGGGTCTCTGCCCCGCTCGCATCACAACGCATGGCACAGGGGCTGTGCGGGCTCGAGAGACCCCCGGGGACCCCCCACCCTATGCCCCAAACCCTCCCCCCCTTCCCTCTGTACCAATAAACAGGAGAACAATCTGGGCTGTTCAATAAGGACTTTGGAGCCTGGGAAGATAAACAGCAGAAGGTTGGAGGGAGCACCAGCAGCGCTGCCAGGGGTTGTGAAAGTGCTGTTCGGGGGGGGGTATGTGCCTGTCCCCCCCCTGCCCCGGGCTCCAAACATCCAGACGGGGTATTTTTAGCCCCTCTGGGATTCGGGAGCTGGCACCGGACCCGGAGCGGCCGTGCCCCCCTGCTTCGCTGCGCTACTGTCCGGCTGGAGGAGCAAAAACCTGGAGGCATTTGCAAGAATTTCTGCTGGAAAGATCCCTCTCCACGTGGGGAGCGGGAGCGGTGCCCACCGGCGTTGGGTTCCCTGGCCCGGCATGGCCCCCTGTCCCCGGGGCTGTCACCGTCACACCATGACGTCCTTTCCCAGAAAGGAGCAGGGGGATGGAAGGGGGGTGCTCGGTGGCTCTGCCCCCCCTCCAACCCCAGGAATAAGCACCCCCTTGTGTGGCCGGGGCAGATGATCGGGGTCTGACCGGCTGCCCCCGGCCATCCCCACCGCGCGGCCTTCACCGGCACAGAATGGATCCCTTGTGCCGTGCCGTGGTGGGGGCTGACTGCACGTTGGCCCCAGGGGGGAACTGATCACAGGGTATTTTTTCGGAGGCATCTTGAACCAAAGGGGGGCTGCAGCATTGCCTTTTGTGGCCTTTGATGACACAAAAATGCCCCAACCGGCCCCACCGTGACCACCACCCACCAGATCTGGGCACGCATGGCCCAGGCCGGTGTGGTGAACAAATTAACTGGGAGGTGGGTTAATTAATCCTCTTCCCAGGAAGATTCCTTGGTGGATGGATGCCAGATTTAAAAAATCACGTCTGAATAAAGGTTGCACCAGCACCAGGCTCTCACAGGCCAACACAGGGCCGAGTTATCTCGCTGGGCAGTGGCCAAGTGGCTGCCCCACCACGGGAGCACGTGCCCCAACGTGGCCCTGGCCCTGAGCAGCTCAGCAAACAACAGAGGGAAAAAAACAACACCAAAAGAGGAGGATGGGGGGGGTGAGGGGTGGGAGGGGGGAACCACATTCCAGTGGCAATATTTTTAAACAGCACGGTCTGTGGAAGACATAACTAAAACCCTGACTCAAGCCCTGTTGGCACACGCCGGGATTTGCTGTGTTGAGCAGGGATGGGGAGCACAGAAATGCCCTTAAAAACCCAAATCCCAAGCAAAGGAGGAGGTGAGGAGCTTCCCTGCCCTTTCTGCACGGGAGCAGCCACTCCCAACCGGCACATCCCAACCCTTCTTGGGAACAACAGGAATGTCCCAGGTCCCACTTGGACCTGCCGGGTCCCTGCCAGGCTCTGGATGGGAGGGGAGCGTGGCTGTCCCCCGGCAACTTGGGACAGGATTAGGAAGTGAGCATGGAAAAATACAACAGGATCACTCAAAGCCCTAATTAAGGTGGTGACAGGAAAAGGGGCAAACCTGCACGGAGGTGGAGGAGCTGGAGACATGGTGCAGAGCATCACCCAGCACCCAGGCAGAGCAGGGGGGCTCTAAGCTCGGGGGTCCCATCCTCTCCTGCGACCCAGTTGATCCCAGTGGTGCAGACTGGGTGCAAGGTGGAGCTGGGTGCCCACGGGGCGATGAAGCAAGGGGAGGGAACTCTCCTGCTCCAACATCCTAGCAACCACGTGAGCTGCACGGCTCCGGGCGATGGGAAGCAGGAAGAGAGCGAGAGAAGAACATCCAGGCAACATCTGGGTTTAAAGGATTTATTTTCAGACAAAAATTCCCCAACAACAAGAAAAAAAAGAAGTCGTACAAAAAGAATAATCAGAGACAAAGAGTGGTCATTACAAAAGTGTTCACAGATACAAAAGAAAGAGTCATCTGAGCAATCCCCGGCAAGCAGAGCGCAGCCCCGGCACGGAGGCGAAGGCACACCTGGCTTTGGTTGTGCGTGGGGCAGGATTGTCTCAGTGAGGGAATGCAAAGGTCCTCAGCACCCAAAAAACTCTGCTGGGGTCACGCTGGAGCAGGCGGGGTCAGCCCCTGGCACACACACACGCTCAAAAATGGTCCGTGCTACAACACCTGCCTCATCAGTTCCCACCCCACCGAGCGCAGGTCGCTGCTGTGTCCTCACCGTGCCGGGGACACCGACCCCTCTACGGGCACAGGATTGACCCCATCCGAGCAGGATCCCTGGCCCTGAAGGACTAATTTCAACTCCACATCTCCCACCAGCATTTGTGGCTTCCACCAGCCTCGGATCAGGCTTCCTTCCCATCTCCTTGGCCACCAGGATGGGGCCAGAGCTCCAGCTCCAACACCCCCGTGGTGGTACCACACTTTGGGGGTTGGTTTTCAGCCCCATCATGGCAAAGGAGGGGGGAACCAGCACATTGTGCAAGTTTGGTGCTGACGCACAGGAACCAGCTTTCCTGTTCTTGGTAAATGGCACTAAAGTACTGCCACAGATCATAAATTCGTCCCCCCCAAGTCCTCTGCCCTGGTAACAGCCCATGGAAGCCTTTACAGTTTCGGTAAACTAGCTCAAGCCATTCCCCCTGCAGGCACCACCAGGCTCGTGGCAAAGTTTCTCAGCAGCAGACAAAGTCTCTGCTTCATCTGGCCAGAAAAAGGCCTTTTGCTTTCTTAGGGAAGTGCAATCCTGGGGAGCTACTGCAGGAGAACGGCTGCACCTGCATCAATATCAAAATATTCTCTAGTAATCCTGAGAAACACCTCCAGGCTCCTGTTTCCCACGACAGGAGTTGCCAGAGCGCAGGCAAAGGGAGAGCAAATATTCCCCCTTTTAACCCCAAAATCCTGGGGTGGTTATTAACCCTCCACGTCCACACAGGGAGTCTCAACGTGTTCTCCTACCACGCACGAGCCCACGACACCTCCCTCGGTGTCGGTCCCCGGGACGAGTCACCACAAGAGCAGTTGAGGGCAGTGAGCGGAGCCGGGGTCCCGGCGCTGCAGGAGCTCTGGTCTCACGGCCACCCTGTCCTCATTTTTCCAGACCCAAGTGCTGTGAGGGTGCAAGCTTTCATCCCAAGGGATCTCCAACGCTGTCAACCGCATCCCATGTGGCTTCTTCTCAACAGGTCATGCAGCGCGGACGGATGTTGTCTGAAGGGGGGTTTGGATCGATCTGCAAAGCCAAATTTAGGGTCAGAAACCTCGGGTAGTGGGCACAAAGAATCACAGCCACATCCCAGCCATCTCCACCGGACACCTCAGCCAAGGGAGATTCATAGAATCATAGAATGGTCTAGGTTGGAAGAGACCCTTGGGATCATCGAGTCCAACCATCTCCCCTACTCTACAAAGTCCTCCCCTACACCATGTCCCTCAGCACTGCATCTAAACGGCCCTTAAACACAGCCAGGGATGGGGACTCCACCCCCTCCCTGGGCAGCCTGTTCCAATGCCCGACCACTCTTTGGGTGAAAAATTCCTTCCTAATGTTCAATCTAAACCTCCCCTGTTGGAGCTTGAAGCCGTTCCCTCTCGTTCTGTCACTAATTACCTGTGAGAAGAGACCAGCACCAACCTCTCTACAGTGTCCTTTCAAGTAGTTGTAGAGAGTGATGAGGTCTCCCCTCAGCCTCCTCTTCCTCAAACTAAACAGTCCCAGCTCCTTCAGCCGCTCTTCATATGATTTGTCTTCTAGTCCCTTCACTAGTTTCTAGAAGACAAATCATATGAAGGAGTGGCTGAAATTCCTTACCTCCGAGTAGAGCGGAGGTGGTCGGAAGCGAAACTCCTGGATGTAGGCGAAGAATGGACCTTCCAAGATGCCCCCCAGTTCGCTGCGACACGGTGGAGCCAGGCTCTGCTCGGCCTCCGGGCTGGACACGACTGATGAATATTCAGGGGGAGCTGGAGAGAAGAGACAGGCATCAGGGAAGAGGAAAAAAAACCCCAGTAAATAGGAGACATGCAGGCAAAAGGGCTTAAAATCCAGTGTTTCCCAAAACTTCCCAGTTCCCGGGGAGGGAGCCCAGGAGATGCAGCAGCACCACAACCAAAAAATTAGGCAAAAAAAGCAAAATGGAGCAAGAGGAAAGGTTGAGAACGTGCTATGACCCTCGTTACCCGGAGAGGGTTGACCAGGGGGGGTTTGGAGCCCCCAGACAGGAGAGGGAGATGCTCACCCTCGGGCTGCTCGGGGATGGTGCTCAGCCACTCCAGGTTGACGCTGTACTGGCTGCTGACGCTGGACGTGCGGCTCCCGAACGGATGCAGCGGGATCGTTCCGATGACAAGAGGCAGTTCAAGGAGCAGCTTGGACGTCCCAGGAATGTCCACACAAACCTTCAGAGACAGGAGACAGCAGGGAGGTTTAGCCATTGGTGTTTTCCCAGTCCAGAGGGGACAGATATCTGCCCAGAGGACTAGCTCAAGCTGCCGGGAGGGAATTCTTGCGGCAGGATGCAAAGGGATATGGAAATGCTCCTGCAGGAGCAGAGGGAGAACATGCAATGGGGCAACGGGGAGAGCATGCAGTGGGGCAGCGGGGAGAACCCAAGCCCTCATACAAATCACCAGCCCCCACATCTCTGCCCCAGCCAAAAAGGAGACACGACCAGAGCACAGCTCTGGTGAGAAGTGGAAACCCTCAACATGGAGCTGAGCCACTTCCCCGGAGGAGAGCATGCAATGGGGCAACGAGGAGAACCCAAGCCCTCATACAAACCACCAGCCCCGAAATCTCTGCCCCAGCCAAAAATGACACACGACCAGAGCACAGCTCTGCTGAGAAGCTAAGACCCTCAACATGGAGTTGAGCCACCTCCCCATGAGGTTCCTCACCTTCAGGGAGTATTCCACCTGGATGATGCGGCACTGGAGGATGGAGGGACCCACCGGTGGGATCTTCAGGGCCCGCCCGTGCCACACTTCCCGCTTCCCCGCTGCAATGGAGTCACCAACAATGCTGGTCACCACCGACTTCTTCTGCTTCTTGGTGCCCCGAGCGATGAAGGTCTGAGTCTGGATGATGGCCGCCTTGGGCACCACCGCTCGGCTCGTGCAGTTGTCGATCTCAGCAAAGATAGGGATGACCTCACCTACCAAAACAGACACACATTGGAGGAGGAGGAGGGGAGAAGGAGCCCGGTCCTGCCTCAAAGAATTGCTGAGTAGGATCTCCAAGGGTTGGTCGTGCCACCGGGCACCACAAAGTTTAAGCCAGTGGGGAGCGTGTCCTGAGGAGGTTGCCCACATCAGGTGCACACACTAAAGCTCTCCAACTGATTTGGTGCCAAAAGTCAAGAGTTTGGCTCACAGTGACCCCAAATCCCCTCACGCTGGGGTCTACAAAGGTTCAAGGGCACCAGAACGACATCTTACCTGGGGTGTAGCCTTTTCGGTCGATCTTGGCAGTTACAGACACCTGGCCACGATTGCAGTACCAGGCACGAGCAAGTTTCTCCTTTGCACCTGCCTGGGGAGCCTGGAGAGAGGGAAATATTTAAGCCATTTAGTAAGAAAGGATGAAACTCTGAAGCAAACACCTCCCTGGCACTGAGAACCTGCCGGGGAGCATCAGCAACTTCTTAGGCATCTGATGCAAGATGCTGTCGCAATGTATTGAAGTTTCCAAAAACTAAGAGGCACGGATGACCTCTGCCCAGCCCAGGTGAGGCTGGAGGGTGCAAGTTACAGGGGGCAAATATTCCCTCTGGAAATCAGGCCTGGACTGTAACACCAGAGGGGATGCAGACACCTTCCCCGTGGGCTTCCCAAGGAAGTTTTGGATGCTGCTGCCCCGGGGTGGAGCAGGAGGACTCACCAGCAGCGCAGGCGTGTTGATGTCGATGGGTTCAATCACGGTGAACTCCTTCTTCACCTTCTTCACCGTCGACCAGGGTCTGTGCAGTTTGGCCTTCACCCAGTAGCGCACGCTGCCGTGCTTCCCCTCGAAGGAGGTAGCCAGGGTCCTGTGGACAAAAACCAGGCCATTTAGAAGGGCTTTGCTGAAAGGACCTCATTTTCGAGGTGCCCTGTCCCCCCTTTCCCAGGACCCGTGTCACCCCTTTTGCATTAAGGCAACAAAAAACCATCAACTTACTCGGGGAGCTGGAAGGTGAAGGGGAACTCGTGCCTTCCTGCCTGCAGGACGGTGACCTCACCATTGTCTGTGGGGAAAAAAAACCGATTTAAGACGATTATCTCTCTCCTGCAGAACTTCCTCCCCGGGCAAATCAGTGGCAGAGAGGTACAGTACGGAGAGAGAGAGCGGCGCGACGGCAGAGGGATATTTCTGGCAGGGTTAAATGGCAGCAGCACTAACACAGCTGTGACACGAGAGCCGGGCACGTCCCGTCGGTGCCGGGTGCTGTTTGCTCTCCACGTGTCTCCAGGCATGCACCACCCAGGGACACCTCCTCGGGGAGCTGGGCAGCTTCCCCAGATGGGGTCTGCTTCATCCTGCAGCCCCCCCTGCACTGCAGCTCGGGAGACAGAGCCTGGAGATGCCTGGCCAAGGCAGGACACAGCCAGCCAAGCCCCCCTGTAACCCCCAGGATTTGCACCCCCATCCTGGGGTTGGAAGGGACCTCCGGGGACCACCTCGTCCAAGGCCCCTGCTCCAAGCCAAGCTTCCTGAACCTCCACAGGAGTTTTCCAACGCTGCTTCCCTACCAAGGAGCACCCACAGCAAAGGGGGTGTCTTATGTGGGGCCAGTCCCTACCCGGGGTGTCCTGCAGAGGAACAGGGTCCAGCCACGTACCCCAGGACCCCAGGGTGCACTCAGCATTGGAGGTGTCTGGGGGGGACCTATTCGCCCAGTCCCCAGCGTGCCCAGACCCTAAGGTACCCCATGCACCCCAAATGCAGCTGCTTGGGGTGTCATACACCCAGGAACCAGGGTGTCCTGTGCACCCACATTTCAGCTGGTTGGGGTGTCGTACACCCAGGAACTGGGGTGTCCTGTGCACCCAGATTTCAGCTGATTGGGGTGTCATACACCCAGCAGCCAGGGTGTCCCCTGCACCCACATTTCAGCTGGTTGGGGTTTCGTGCACCCAGCAGCTGGGGTGTCCTGTGCACCCAGATTTCAGCTGGTTGGGGTTTCATATACCCAGCAGCTGGGGTGTCCCCTGCACCCACATTTCAGCTGTTTGGGGTGTCATGCACCCAGGAGCCGGGGTGCCCCAGGCTGCCCCATGCACCCACTTTTTATTCCAGCCCCTGGTGACTCCAGTGCACCCACTCCCCAGCTCTCGGAGCCGAGTGGAGCCTCGGAGCACCCCAGGGGTGCCTCCCCGGGACTGGGACGGTGGGGGGGTTACCGTGCCCCGGAGGGAGGGGGTGGGGGGGTGATGGCCGTACCTGGGGGTGCCAGGAGCGTGTCTCGGTGGCTGAGAAACTCCACCTGGTCGCTGTAGCTCTGCGTGTAGGCGGTGCTGGAGCCGGCGCTGCGGGACTCGGTCCAGTGAACTCGGGCAGCGCCCATCGCCCGCAGCCTCAGGGCTCCCAACCGAGCCGCCGCCGCCAGCTCCAGCACCACCCGGCCCGACACCGCCTGCCCGGGGCTGAAAGCGGCCGGGCCGTCCCTCTCCGTCCCCTCCAACACGATAGAAAAGCGTTTGAGGCGATCGAAAATCATGGCGAACGAAGCCAAATTTCCCCGGCGCAGCCCGGCCCCGCCGCCGCCCGGCCCCGCTTTTAAGTGCCCGGAGCTGCCGGGGGCGGCCCCGGTGGGGCGGGACGGGACGGGACGGGGCGGCCCCCGCTCGGGCCCTGCAAAACAAGGCAGCGAGCATGTGCGGGCCACCCCCCCTCAACCATGGCCATCCCCTCCACCCTTCTCCTCCTCCTTCCCGGCTCCGTGGGGCTGTGTGGTTCTCATCCCACCCCGGGGATGGGTGTCGGGACCACGGGGGACGTGACCGGCTGGAGGAGGATGGTTCACGGTGCCCAGAAGCAGCAGCCGTGTGTGGACCACGCAGGGGACATAGAGTCATAGAATCGTCCAGGTTGGAAGAGACCCTTGGGATCATCGAGTCCAACCATCTCCCCTACTCTACAAAGTTCTCCCCTACACCGTATCCCCCAACACCACATCCCCCAACACCGCATCTAAACGGCCCTTAAACACATCCAGGGATGGTGACTCAACCAACACGTGTGTGAGAGCTGTGGATGACCCCCCCTCTGCTGCTCAGTGGCCCCCCCAAAACCCCCCTCCAGCTCCCATCCCATCCCATCTACATCCTTGACTAGGCCCCATCCTGAATCCGTGTCCCCAGGGTCACGGCGGCCGTGCCGGGGGGGATTTCCCAGTGGGAGCAGCAGCCCCTTGGTTCCAGTTCCCTCAGGAAGGAGCCAAGGGCCGCGCCGCACGCGGATCCACGTCCTTTCTTTCCCAAGAGCCGTTCCCAGGGGTCGGAACAGGCCGCAACTGGCTCTGGGCTCCTCACACGGCCTGGCCCGGCCAACTGGCGGCGAAGGGAAAACTGGTCTGGGACATGGCTTTGCTTATTTCTAAGAAATCAAGAACTGGCTGGCGTTCAGCTTGTGCAATTACGGAGTGAGCAATACATCTTCCCTCTGCTTTTTTTAACCAGGCGAGCGCTGGTTTTCTACCAGCTCCTGCTGGGGTTTGTGGTGGTGCCGCGCTAAAACCCGGTGACAAATTTCACCTGCGGGGCCAGGCACGGCCCAGGGGACTTTTAAACCCACCTGCCCACGTTCAGCTGGGGTTAAAGCATAAAAACGGGGAGCTGGTGGTTCTCAGAGCAAACATCACCATTAGCAGAACCCTGAGATGTTGTAAAAGGGAGGAGAAAGGGGTCCGCGTCCCCCTCCAAGGGTTAATCCAGCTTTAGAGTGTGTTTTTTTTTTACACTTTGTCACGTTTGCAGAACACCAGAGCTCTCCACCCCGGGCATGGGCTGGGGATGAGACAAAACAGGCATGAAAAAATGTTCCTCGGCGTTGGGCCGCCAAAGTTTGGAGGGTTTTCGAGTTGCTCCCAGCCATGCTGGGCAGGACCCGCTGTGCTGAATTGGGTTGATCTCAGCCCTCGAAAATGAGCTGGGCTGAAGCCTCCCAAAAGCTTTAGCTGCCTCCAAAGGCTAACTGGAATTATCTGCCTCCCTCCCCCCAAGGGAAAGGGACCGTGTTTTATTTTATGTGCGCCACCATTTGCTGCCACGAGCGAACATGAATCATAGCAAACGCTGTTAAAGGGAGCCCAACAACAAGGGGAGAGGGAAAGGAGGAAGGAAGGCACGTCACGGCACGAGTTAACGGGTGACACCAGCTCTGGGAAAGCGCCTGTTGTCCCTGCACAGTGACATTAGAGGTGGTGGGGCTCTCAAGAGGGGCTGGAGCCTCGGCCGGGTTGAGGCGGCTTCATCCCGCGCTTGGCATCTTCCTCCTCCCGCCCGCCGGCACACACCCCTCAGCCTGTGACTCAGCCCTCGCCCACGGGATGAGAATCTGCAAACCTCCCTCCCGTGTCAGCCACACGAGATGTCCACAGCCACCTCCACGTGCGGTGGGAAGCCCCTCTCTAAACGCTTTGGGACCCCAGCACCACCCCAGGAGGGTCTCTCCTCTCTCCCAGGATCTCCGGCTGCAGGGGCTGTGGGACCACAGCCAAGGGCTTTCCATTCAAAAACGTTCCTGGGTGCCCAAACCCATCTAAAACCTTTTGGTGCAGGAAAGATCTCCAACTCTTCAGCCCCATCTAGAGTCTGGCCAGGCTTAAGCCGGTCCCAACAGGAGCTGACACCCTGCCAGGCTCAGGAGGGGCTTCTCCTTCCCTGGACCTGCTGCTGGGACCTGGTGGCTTCTCCCCACTGAGCCCGGAGCCACGCAAGGTTCTCTGCAAAGCCAGAGAGAAGGTAAAAAGGGGGAGTCAGCAGCTCTACCCTGACCCAATATGGAGACAAGATGGGACAACGTGGAGCCTTGCACAAGCACACGCTCCTGGCTTGAGGAATAAGCTCTGTCCCTGCTGGATCTGCGAGTGTTGCGTATAGACGAGGATTAAGGAGCTGAGCAAGGGCCACCACGCAACAGGAGGAGAGCCCTGAGGAGCTCCTCACCCTCCACCACCATGTCCCGTAGCTCTCCTGGATGTCTCCATGAAAATAAAACAGCTCCTAGATCTTTGGCTCTCACGAGGGAAGGACCTACCCCTCTGGGAAGCGCTGCGGGATCCTGGGACAGAGAGGATCACTGCACAAAAAGCATCTATGTTTCTTGAGCTCTCCCACATCACCTCATGCAGGAGAGTCCAGGACTTCCCTTGTGTTGCCTTTGCTTGTTAAACCCCTAATTTTTCCTCTTTTCCTGCTCCCTGAGATGATGACACAGTATACATTCAATGGTCCTGCCACGCAGTCTGAACATCCTTTTTTTCACCCTTTTTTCTTGTCTCACAGCGCAGCACCCCGGGTGCCAGCGCTCACCACCCTGCCAGGAAACTGCAGATAAACTCACAGCTCGGGGGGGAGAGCAGAAGGGAGGGCTCTTATCTCTGCCTGGCTTCCCTCCTCTGCACTGCCTTGTTACCATGACAAAAACCTGCATTTTTTAAACACCACGCAGACACAGTTGATCTCATCCAGAAGCAACAAGAAGGGAGCAGTCACAAGGACCTTTGGATGACGGCACGTTTTCAGCAGCTTTGTGCCAGCTGACATCAGGAAGGTCCTCATGCTGATGCTGGGGACACCAGGACAGAGCAGGACCCGTCGGGGTCTGAAAGCAGGGATTTGGGCTGTGGGACAGCTCTTCTCCACAGCCCACAGCCTTCCCTTCCTTAAAACACCCCTGTGATCACGTGCCCGTGTCCCTCTCACAAAGCAGAAAAGGAATCCGTGTAGGGACAGAGACAATAAAATCCCACCCCACGAGTCCTGGCAAGGCTCTGTGCTCCCCAAGGAGCCCAGTTTGACTCTCCCCATGTGGCAGACAGAGCTATAAACCATCAGCTCCAAGCTACAGGAAGGCAGGGTGCTGGTGAGGCTGAGCAGCACACACAATTCCTCCAGCCCCTGGCCCAGCACCCTTCTCCTGATGGCTCTGGGGGCCTGTGTCCTACACAATCCCAGCAGCACAACCCAAACACAGCTCGCAGCAGCTCGTGGCTTCCCTACAGGCATTCGCCGCAGGGATAATGGGGGATAAAACTCACCCTTGTGACCTTACAGCCAATGCGGCCACCATCCAACCACTGCCGTGACCGAGTGCTCAGGACCTTCTCCGCTGGAGTTCGGAGCAAGGGCTTCTCCCATGTCCTTAATTGCAATCGGGACACTTAGCACGGTCGCAGCCGCAAAGGGGCCCATCCTTAGGCACAGCACAGAAGAGCCACTGCCAAAAGACAGAAACTCCAGCGTAACGCGGGTGTTTGGAGCAGATGGCAAGGTACAGTCATCCAGAAATAGAGAATATGACCCCCCGGTGCGGTCCAGAGACAAGGACACCTCCAGGAAGGCAGCTCACGTCCCCCTTCCACCACTCCAGTTCCCTCCTGCAACCTCTACATTTGCCAGCGAGGGCTGGCACGACTTTCTAGGTTGCCCTTGGCCACTGACACAACAACTCAGCATGAGTGAAATCCTACAGCCATCTCCGGGGTGGGACAGCACAGTGTCACAGGCAATAACAAGGCCACCAGATGCAGGGAAAGGGGGAGAAAAAGCCACGGAGCCACGACTGTAACACTGTTGTTGGAGGGGAGGATAAAAGACGGGCACTTTCATAAGAAAAGACAGAGTTAATAAGCCAACGGACGGCTGAGATGTTCCATATCCCTCGGCTCTGGATCATTTCATCCCAGCCACACAAAGAATTCAAGCAGCCTGTCCTCTTGCAGAAGACCTAAGCAACGTTGCCAGCCGGGCATGCGGTCCCCACATCAGAAAACTGAAACCAAATATTTACCGAAATCCTAAGTGCTCTTTCCACACTTGTGAACAGACACTTCTATTTGCACTTCCCTGAGCAAACAGGACAAAAGCCACAACCCTTTCGTGCTGACCAGCCCCGAGTTCGCAGGCAGCCTCCTAGAAACCAGCAGCAGAAAAACCCTCGGCAACGGTGAGAAGAAGGTGTCCCAGAGGGACAACCCTGCTTGGCTTGGTGAGCACCCACCAGCTCAGAGGTCCTCCTGGAGGGGACACCTCCAGCCCAAGGGGGTCCCAACCCAACTCCTTGGAGCAGAGAACCCCCCGTAAGCCCCAGACTTACCGGGGATGAGCTGGCAGCGGCGGTAGAGGAAGGTCTGGTAGGCTGTGTAGTCACGGTAGATGGTGTTGAGCCCCACGCTGCGGCTCTCCAGCCAGTGGACGGCGGCGCGGCCGCGAGCACACACCTCCAGCGCCCGCAGCCGCAGGGCACCGCGGAGCTCCAGCTGCACCCTGCCGTGCAGGAGCTCCCCTCTGCCGTAGGCACCCCAGGATCTCCCGTCCTCCAGCTCCACCACCAAGCTCCGCAGGCGCCCCGGGAGCTGCATCGCTGCTGGCACTGCTTATCCAGCAGCTCCAGGAGGCTGGTGGCCACCTGGGCTTGAGGGCGAGCGGCGCAGGCGCCCCGGGAGCTGCATCGCTGCTGGCACTGCTTATCCAGCAGCTCCAGGAGGCTGGTGGCCACCTGGGCTTGAGGGCAAGCGGGACAGGCAGCTCTGCAGCCCTCCAGGAATGGGGAGGAAAGAGCAAAGGCTACGCCGAGATCCCCTAATTTATCCCTGCCCCTAATTGGCCCAGCCCTGCAGGTCTAATCTCCCCCAGGGTTGGACCGAGCCCCTGTTTTGCGGTGACGCTTTAGCGTTGACCTCATGGGCTTGAGGCTGATGTTGTGGCCGAGGATGGGGCTGCGTAGGTGGGTGACGTCTTTTTTAAACCCGTGGAGGAATAACGTGGCTTCATCTTATCTCCGAGTTGCAGACGCTGCCGACGTGCAACTGGTACGTGCTGGTGGCTCCGTTGGCAGGGTGGGGTGTCACGCACCACCCTCCGCGCTGGCAGATCTCACGTCGCTGGGGGAATCAAAGAAGGGCTGTTTGGCCTTCCTGCTTCAGGCATTCCCTGGGCAGAGCTGGAAGGGGCAGGAAGAGGAGTTTAGAAAGCAAAGACCCAGTTTTACTCTCTGTGTCTCAAGGTGCCTCAAAATCCACGTGAAAAAGAAAGCGAATAACCACAGGGTCCTCCCAGCTGGTTCCACCAGAAGGGTGATGGTCACCATTGATTCCCAGTGAAGCCTGGCTGTGTCACCTCAGGGTCACATAAAAGTGCTGGGGCAGGCCGGTAGCAGATGCAAGTCCCTGTTACTACACAAAATGATGCCATTTAGGTGTTTGAATCGAGGTGTTTGCAACGTGCTAGTGTAAAATACTGATGTGAGGTGCCTGTGTGCGTTTGCAAGACTTGAGTAAGGGACTTCTTTGAAGTACGTGTGGAGCAAAGACTGTCCCTTTCCCAAGGGATGTAGAGTCAAATCCTGAGAGGAAAGCACAGGGGGATGGTGGGCCCAGCCACTGCTCCCACACCAACTGCAGCTGCTGGAAATGATGTTGTAGCCTGTGCTCACATGCTCTGGTGCTGGCTCACAGCAAACCCATCTGCACCGAAAGGCTGGGAAGAGCTTGTGAAGCAGCAGCTGTGAGAAAGCAGCAGCTGACCCTGCTCGCTCAACCTCCCAAGGGAGGGGGCTTTCCGGCCCTCACTGATCCCTCTTTAAAATACCTACATCCCAAACAGAGTTAGTGCAAGCTCAGCATTTGGGAAACCCACGTGAGTTACCAGCTCAACAAAAATACACGGCTCACCTCTAGGAAAACAGCTCACTCATCATATGCTGGGGAGGGCTACCTCCCTGCCCGCCTGTTCGCTGACCTTTGGTTTCAGGCCTTGACACCAAAACACAAACAGATAATCAGAGAATATTCCAGCCCCTACACACACACACAGCCCTGACGGTGCCTCTCACTTTGCTTCTGATCTCTCGCCCTTTCTCTGAGCTTCCCCCTACCCCACCTGCTTCCTCCTGCCCCAGCGCCTGCCTAGATGCACCCGGCGGGTCTCGCAATCCAGAGAAATGTGTCACCAGTGTCTTTGGGCTAATCTCCCTGTGTTTATTCTTGCTGTCACAACACCTTCTTGTCTCCTCATTCAACTCGGGGAATAAACATTCCCTGTAATAACACGCAGATGGGCCAAGAGCAAGGAACCAGGACGGTTAACAGGTAACGCGACGTGTCAGCAGTCCACAGCGCAGCAAGTTCTGGGCGGTCACCAGAGAAGGGAGAAGATCATTCTGCAAAGAGCACCTTCCTCTGGGGACAGTATCCTTTCAGGGTCCCCAGGGGCACGCAGCTCACTTGGCAGTTTGCCTTTTGGATTTCTGCTGGGCCTCTGGATTTGAGCGTGAACTTGTCTTTCTGCTCAGTCCTGAAGAGGTCCCGTGCCCTCCAGGGTAGATCCAGGTGTGAGCGTTTGATCTGAGGAGAGAGAAGAGCTTTCAGCAGATGGACACAGGGCTGGGGAAGAGGCAGGTGGACCTGGCAGCCCCTACATCTGAGCCCCACGTTGCTACCTGAGGGGTCACCCCCCTGGGCAGCAGCAGTCTGTGCCTGCCTGCATCCCCTCTCTCTGGCAGATGCAGAGTCTTCTCTGCTGGTGGTGCAGAGACACGTTCACCCCGGCTGGACACCTCTAGCCATTCCAGTTTCCCTCCTCTGATCCTCAGTGGGGGACTAGAATCACCTTCCCCCTCCCTCCAAGGTTTTTTGGCATAGGGGCTTGGTTGCCTGGCCTTCCTTTCCCTTCCAAGACTTTTCTCAGCTACGACTCTGCTCCCCACAGAGCAGTGGGGATTTGATGTGTGGCTGTCCCATCTCATAGAATCACAGAATCATAGAATCATCTAGGTTGGAAGAGACCCTTGGGATCATCGAGTCCAACCATCTCCCCTACTCTACAAAGTCCTCCCCTACACCATGTCCCTCAGCACTGCATCTAAACGGCCCTTAAACACAGCCAGGGATGGGGACTCCACCCCCTCCCTGGGCAGCCTGTTCCAATGCCCGACCACTCTTTCGGTGAAAAATTCTTTCCTAATGTTCAATCTAAACCTCCCCTGTTGGAGCTTGAAGCCATTCCCTCTCGTTCTGTCACTAATTACCTGTGAGAAGAGACCAGCACCAACCTCTCTACAGTGTCCTTTCACGAAGTTGTAGAGATTGATGAGGTCTCCCCTCAGCCTCCTCTTCCTCAAACTAAACAGTCCCAGCTCCCTCAGCCGCTCCTCATACGATTTGTTTTCCAGCCCCCTCACCAGCTTCGTTGCCCTCCTCTGCACTTGCTCCAGCACCTCGAGATCTCTCTTGTATTGAGGTGCCCAAAACTGGACACAATACTCCAGGTGTGGCCTCACCAGTGCTGAGTACAGGAGCAAGCAGCAAATCTGGTGATGTTACTGGGGAGGCTACGGCTTCGCTTGGTATAATCCCGCTTCCCCACGCCACCCCGTGGTAAATCCAAGCCTATTAAGGCTGAACCTGCTGTAACTTGTCTTCGGAGAGTTGTTGTTTCTGCTGCCTGTGTGGGACCAGCATGGCCTGCGTGGTTGTGACAGAACTTTCATCTGCTGACAGACAGAATTGAAATAAAAAGTAAATTCAAGCCAGTAAATTAGGAAGCAACATCAGAAAAGCTTTTCCACTAACGAGAGGAGAGGACACGCTTTGCCATCAGCGCTTTGCTCAAAACCTTTGCTCAGACAGAAAACAGTTCCCAGGGTGAGGAGGTAAATGAAGACATTCACGTGGAATTGAGAGGAATATCACTCCATCTGCTAGTTATGGAGCGGCTCCACAAGTTTGGGGCCAAGGAAAAGATCAATTAAACCCTGATTTGTTCCACATTTAGTAAAATAAATGGCTTAAAAACATGGCATGAAGGGACCTCTGTCTTAGCTGCAGAGCAATGGCCATTGGAAACAGGAGGCAACGTCAGAGGAGGATTTTCTTAATGCCTTCCATGACTAGCTCTAACCGCATCCCTTCCTGAGGTTGCATAAGCCCAGCTTTTGATCAAAATCCTCTCCTTCCTCCCAAATACAAACGCAAAACAACTTCTAAAAACAAATGCAGCAAGGGAGAGAGATCGAGCCATCAGTTCATGTCCCAGAAATCACTGACGTCACCTGAAATGTGCTAAACATTGCTGCACGATGGCAGCGTGTGCCTATGGCTGGCAAAGCCTCTGAGATGGCTGATAAGTGACACGTCATCTGGGGAAGTGAAAGTGCTTGAGATTAGCAGTCGGTGTGAGAACCAGCAGCAGCAGGCAGGGGGCTGAGCACGGACATCCTGCCTGGTTTTTGGGTAACAATCTCATTTTACTAAAGACACTGACGCTGCAGCAGCGCTTTCCGGCCATCTCCAACCCGAGATGTCTGGGATGCCTCCTCTCCCAGATCACCAGGCACCACCATCCCTTGCACAGAGCTAGGAGAACCTCAGCAGGCTTCATTTGGCACCAGGAGTGTGAACAAAGTGGCCTTACCGTGGTAGTTGAAGGGGATGTGGCTCTCACAGTGGCTCCTGCTGTCTGCCATCACCCTCTGGCTCTGGCGGGGCGGCTGATAGTCTGCCTGTTGTGTTGTGCTGAAGAAGCAGGAGCCTGAACGTTCATCTCCCAAGCAGATGTTGCTTTGATGCTTCAGCAAGTCAGGCTTTGGTGCAAGGTTCCACCTGTCCGTCTGGAGAACACAGAAGCTGCTTTAACAGAAATGAGCTCTAAGTGGGAAAGGCACCCTGTTGCACGTTACACCCTGCAGAGCCCAGTGTGGGGAGGGGAGAAGGGACAACAGAAGGACAACTCTGGCCTTTAGGTGCCAGAGTAGCACACATAAAAAAAGAGAGGGTCTCTGCCAGAGGAACACCCGCACAGCAAAGCTGGGAACAGACCTCTGGGTAGGAGAGCTGCGTATTAGTGATTCTTGTCAACGCTCGATTTCTCTCTGGGTCTTCATCACCTCTGGGGATGGATGAGGCATTTTTGTTTAGACGGACAATAGTTACAGGCTCTGGCAAAAACAAGAGTGAAGGATGTCAGAGCACTCCAGTCTCCAAACAAGTTGTAGCTACAGCAGCTTCTCCCCATGCAATGCAGCGCAGGAATGAATACAGGTATTTAACCTGCCAGGGAAGTGGAGGGAGGATGAAACAGAGCCTCACAGTGATAACACTGGTGCTGAATACAGAAAAACTACAAAACATTAAAAATATAAAATTATATACATATTATATGAATGTATTATGTCTTTACCTATAATTATATCACTGAAACCAAGTGATAAAACCTACTGTTCAGCTTGTCATAAACCTCAATAGCAGTCTGTATGCGTTGCCTGTGTGTCACAGACTTACCCTACCTAGATCGTGCGGTGGGAAGAGCTCTGATGTCTGGGTGGAGAATCTGGTGCGACCGTCCCCCAGCTGCAGGTTCGTGTGGTGGATCTGGGAGGCAGCAAGTTCCTTGTCGTAGGCTCTGCAAGATACCAGATACGAGCTATTTAACGATCAACGTTCATCAGAAAGAGCAGTTCCCAGGGATGCCCGTCAGGTTCTTCTGCTGATACCTGTGTGTCCTCTTCTCTGGGGCACGGAAGGCATGTTTCTGCTCGCTCAAAGATCCACTGCTTCTGGGATCCCCAAATTTAATACGAGACGTGTACTGAAGGGAAGCAAAGAGAGCTACAGAACAGCCACTTAAAGCATAATCCCTTTTTTCCCCTCACTGTCTTTCCACCCATCTGGTTTTCCCTTTCACAGATCCCACCCCTTTTGGGTCAGAATTCAACATAGGAACATGCTGCCCTTTAACCACGTCTTGGTCCTCCCCAGAACCATGCTGTTACCTTTTCACTTGGCTTTGCAGGTGGGCTCCATTCACCCTTAAACTGTGCTTGGTAAGAAGTGTCGTAATAGGACCGTTCGTCCTCTTTAATAGTGGGAACAGATCCTGCCAAACAGCCAGAGGGGGAAATGAACGGTGTTATTTCTAAATATGCTCTATTTACCCTTATAAGGAAATATCAATGAGCTGCCATCTCGAGGCAGCCGCTCTTTTAGCATTTTACTACTCCTGAACCCATTTTGTGCAGTGAAATGGCAAAGCAATGAACACCAGATTGCAGCAAGGTGGGCTGCAATGCTGCGGAACGTGGATGTGGCGCATCAGGAGCGATGCAGCTCCGGTGTGAAACCGCAGCATCCGAGGAGAGGGGAATCAAAGGCGACAGCTGGAAAGGCTGCACAGCAACAGCTGGGCTGGCGAGTGCTTTAAGTTAGTGCTATTAACCTGTTCCATGAACACCAGGTTTACTCGGCTATAAAAAAGAGAAAGCCATATATCCAGATAGTTCTAACAGCTTTAGCTGCTCGCAGCACGACTCTGAACTGAACCACCGAACCTCCCAGGGACTGCGGGGAAGGTCTGCTGGGAACAGACACGTCTGTCACACAGCTCACCCCTGTGCGACTGCCATGGCCGGGCAGCGGGCCGGATCTCGTGAGCTGGGTACGAGACGGTGTAGACAGATGGAGGGAGCCTTATTTTATCCCTGTCTCCACAAGGAATGTTATCCTTCTGTTTCTTGGCCGTGGGCAGGGGCGCTCTCTGAAGGGGGAGGTGGGGACAGGGGAAGCGTTCCCTCGTCTCCGAGGTGAGGACGCGGATGCGGGGGTCTGTGTGCATGCGGACATACGACTTGGGGGGAACAAACGGGGCCACCGGCTGTAGGGGCTTCTCTGGAAACGCCAGGCGAGTTTCTGAACAGGTTCCCCCGCCGCCGCCACCCCCAGGCGGGCCCAGCACCTGCCCACTGCAGGGCAGCGAGGCCGGTGGCCGCCGATGAACCCCCCAGAAAGGGGGGTACTGGCTGTGAGAAAATGGTTGACGGGTGCTTTCCGGCGCCCAGCGCTCATCCCCCAGCCGAATGTGGGACGCCTTCAGGAAGGGAATGCCTGTGAGGGGGGCCGGGATGGTGGGCACAGCGTAGGCCGCCATGGCCCAGCAGGCGGGAGGCCCCGCTTAGGCTTCAGCAGCCGCTAGGCCGCGTCGCCATGGCGACGTCTCCGCTACCTTCCCGGCGTGCCCCGCGCCAGCGCCAGGTAGACCGTGAGCGCCGTGACGTCACACCCCGGAAGCGTTGCTATGGCGGCGGGCGGCCTCAGCGGCCTGGTGGCCGCGCTGGAGGCCTACCGAGGCCGGGACCGGGTGGTGAGTGGCGGGAGCGGCCCGGTGGGGCTCTACCTTCTCCCGCACGGCCGGATCCTCACCGGGTTGTGCCTCCGCAGGTCCGTGCGCTCTGCTATGGCTGTCAGCTGGCGGGCGGGGCGCTGGCCGGGCCGCGGACCCCACCATCAGGGCTGCCCGGGAGCCTCTTGGCCGTGTCGGCTCAGCTGAACGCCGCCCGCACAACCCTGCGCCTTTTTGACGACTTAGCCATGCTCAGCTACAGCTGCAGCTACGGGCTGGGCCCCAAGGTGAGCGTGGGGCACGGGGTGTAGCGACAGTCTCCCCGGCCTGCGCCGCAGGCACTGAGGCAGCGCTGTGCCCAACGGCGGGGACAGAAAGCTTCCGTAACTCTCCAGAATCACCAAAGGGATGGCAGGGCCATGCCCAGTGCCAGCTTATCCCTGACAAAGTTTTGGGCCCCCTACCATAAAAAAGACATTGAGGTGCTGGAGCGGGTCCAGAGAAGGGCGACAAAGATGGTGAGGGGTCTGGAGAATAAGTCTTATGAGGAGAGGCTGAGGGAGCTGGGGTTATTCAGCCTGGAGAAGAGGAGGCTGAGGGGAGACCTTATTGCTCTCTCCAACTCCCTGAAAGGAGGGTGTAGAGAGGTGGGGGTCGGTCTCTTCTCTCAAGTCACAGGCGACAGGACAAGAGGAAACGGCCTCAAGTTGCACCAGGGGAGGTTCAGGCTGGATATTAGGAAAAAATTTTCACTGAAAGGGTTCTCAGCCCTTGGAATGGGCTGCCCAGGGAGGTGGTTGAGGCCCCATCCCTGGAGGTGTTCAAAAGCCGGGTTGATGTAGTGCTGGGAGGTCTGGTTTAGTGATGATGCTCCTTGTTTGTTGTGCGGGTGTCTATTTTTGTCAGTCAGGTTGACGGTTGGACAAGATGATCTTTGAGGTCCCTTCCAACCTAGAAGACTCTGTGATTCTGTGAAAGGCAGATGGGCACGACGTGAGACGGGTTGATGTAGTGCTGGGAGGTCTGGTTTAGTGATGATGCTCCTTGTTTGTTGTGTGGGTGTCTATTTTTGTCAGTCAGGCTGACGGTTGGACAAGATGATCTTTAAGGTCCCTTCCAACCTAGAAGATTCTGTGATTCTGTGAAAGGCAGACGGGCTTGTTTGTTGTGCGGGTGTCTATTTTTGTCAGTCAGGTTGACGGTTGGACAAGATGATCTTTGAGGTCCCTTCCAACCTAGAAGACTCTGTGATTCTGTGAAAGGCAGATGGGCACGACGTGAGAGGGGAGAGCATCACGGGGAGCTCTGCTCTCTCCGAAGGACCGAGCCACGGAGGATCCCTGAGCAATAGGCAGAGAGAGAAACATTCTTCTCTTCAAAGGGAAATCGGGCCCTTGGTGGCTTCGTCTCATGTTTGTTATAACCCCAAACTGTTTGCGCTCTGCACGACTCTGGTTTTAATCATTTATTCATCAGTGCAGTTGGATGGCCCCTCTGCATTCCAGGCTGAAGCTTTTAAACCCTTCCTCTGCTGTAGGCACACTGAAAAGAGCGAGTGCTTTCCCTGGGACCTGGTCATATAAGTAAATATGACAGGCTCTGGTTCCATTTTTTATATTTTCCCTTGCAGGACGAGGATGGGCTGGTGCGGGGGCTGTCGGTGCTCAACAACGTGGCCGACCAGCTCTACTTCCCCTGCGAGCACGTCGCCTGGGCGGCTGACGCCGGCGTCCTCCGCGTTGGCTCTCAGAAATGGTGGACTCTGAGCACAGCCCTGTGGGCCTCCTCCCTGCTCCTGGGCATCCTGCGGTAAGGCTGGCTTGGGGGACCACAAGCAGGAGAGGGAACAAACCATGTTCCCTCTATTCAAGCTCAAATGAAGCCGCTCTTGGCTGCAGGAGGGTGCTCTTCCTCATGGTAGAGAAAAAACCCTGTCCTTCAGTGCTATAAGGGGAAATAACTCTTCTTTTCAGATCCCTGAGAATCTTGTTCCAGTTAAGACGAAAGCTGAGGCAGCACAAGGGGTATGATTTCCCTCCTTATACAGCTATTTTAACACAAACGTATCTGTTCTCGTTTGTGAGCTATCACTAATTATTATTACGTTATGGGCTATCAGTACCATTACACTTGCTTCCAGGAGTGCCTCCTCGCCTCTGAGTCAAAAGGAGACGAAAGCCCGAGTGAAGGCTGAAGTTCTGAGCATCCTCTCACGTCTGGCAGATCTCTCCAACGCAATCCACTGGCTGCCTCCAGGGTTTCTTTGGGCTGGACGTTTTCCTCCATGGTTAGTAGGTCTTCTGGGGACCATTTCTTCCCTGATTAATATCTACCAGGCGTCTCGAAGAGGGAATTCTGAAGCCGTATAAACCATAATTAAGCTTCAGGAGCCCAAATTTTTACACGGTAAAAATGCCTTTAGTGAGGCAGGGTGTACGTACCCCTGGTGTTGATGATTGTGATTCCACACGTCCTGTAATTGGGACTGTAAGTCAAGATGTTTATCACAGAGAGGATTGTTTGCGGTTAACGATTTTGACCACTCTTCATCAGAGAAATCTTTCAGGCGAATCCTCTGGAAAAATCGAGAAAATCTCCTAGGATTGGTAAAATAGAAGGGGGGAAAAAAAGTCACTTCCATCCTTCCTTCCTTCCTGCCAAAAGACAAATGCAACCCTCCAGTCTTCGCTGTCACTTAAAAGCGCACAAAGCCAGCGTTGGGCAGAGGAACGGCCGCGGTTCCGTCACACAAAAAGTCTACGGGATGGATCCTGCAAATTCCAGCTCAGTGCCTCTTCTGACCCAGGAAATCCTGGAGGTGTCTCCCTCAAGGTGTTTGGGTGTTTGAGCCCGGAGCAGATGCCCCAAGCGCGGCTGAGAGGGAGGCTCCTTGGGTTATTTTGGTTGTGAGGGTTGTTTTTCTCTAGAAAGAAGCAGCGGGTGCGAGCGGTGCCTCGCGGAGCTTTCTTCTGGTCTGTACCACTCATTTTAGGAGAAATACTGGAAAGCTGAAACTTCCCAGTAAAACCAGTAGCAGCGCTGAGCCTCCAGCTGTGCCTTTATGGAATGCCACCGGGTGGAGCTCTTCCACCAGGCTCTGGCAGAAGCCAACGGACTGATCTTTTTTTTTTTTTAAATAAAAAAAAAAAAGTAGCAATTTTCTTAATCACCTTTCAAAGGACCATTAAAGTGACGCCAGGATGAGTTTTACGGTTCTGTTTCTAGGCGGTGCCAATAATAAAGGAGACGAATGCTTCAAAGGTGGCCTTGAGTGATCGTTGCTTCCTGTAATTGGGCAAATGTTCTTTATCTGGTTCTAGAAAGCTCCAAAGGGTGCCGAGACCACAGGGAAAAAAAAAAACAACAAAAAAAAAACCCCCACGTTTCTGCTGCGTTGGCTGCAGCTCCCCGTGTGCTACCAGCCATCCTTCTCCCGAAATAATTCCGAGCACCTGACTTAACTGTCAGGGAAATGTGCCTTTTGAAAACAGTTCTGCTTAGTCTGCACAGGGTTGGTGCCCTCTGCAACGCAGAGAAGCACTGACCCCATTTCCAGGTGGTTTGAGCTCTATTTTTTTCTGTTGTTATTGGCCCGGACACCTGAAACTCTTTTATCTCCTGCCCGCGTTCAAAGAGCAAAGTGAGGTCTTGATATTCTTCATCCTTCGCCCTGTCCCTGCTGTTTATCTGGGCCTTCACCCCACCAGGTGCCACTGGGGGTACTGTCCTGACCGTGCTCAGAATTTGGGGTCAGATTTGCAGGTTTTACCTGAAAGAGACTCTTGTTTTTTATCTCTAGTCAGGCTTCAGGTCGTGTGCCCGAGCCGGCACCCGTTGCAGCAGCTCCTGCTGGAATTTAGTGGCTTTTTAAGTAAAAATTAATCAGATTCTACCTCTTTGAATTCTTAAACCTTGTTGAACCCTTCCTTCAGAACACTCTCTCCTGCTTCACATGGGACAAAGTGGAAATAAGCACCATTTAGAACAAAAAACCAAACCCCAAACGCACGCAGCTCTGATGCCAAAGTGGTAAAACTAAGCCAGGTTTTTGATTTTTGTGCAGGGAAAGGACGCTGTGAACTCTTCTAAGTGTGTTTCCTTCATCTGCTTCTGCTCCCGCCAAGAGATTTTTAAGTTGCAGCCGGGGACGTGCAGGACAAACTGCAACGTGCAAAGATAGAGCAGAATCGGGTCATTCAGAACTCCTGAAATTCATATTTTCTGTAGAGTAGCTCTGATCCCCACTGATACAGGTATTTAAGAACCTGTGGTGGCTGCTGCTGACAGTCCAGGGAAGCACTCACTCTTTTTGAGCACAAAACCTCGCAGGGGCAGACCCAATTTTCCCAAAAAACCTGTGTTTTTTTTTAACTTCTTTCAGCTGCAGCCACCAGCCCGGCTCCCGCTTTGCAGGGAAACATTTGCTGAGCAGGGAGGGTTTGTTCCGGCCGTGACCTCCCTTTGTCAGCAAGGCCGGTAGCGGCAGAGCTGCTGATTCCAGCTCGAAACCCTGACTCCGGCTTTTTATGGCCTTTTTTTTATGGCAGGGCTGACGCCATCAGCGGCGGCCGCCGGGCAGGAAGGGGTTAAAGGGGCGGCGCATGCGCAGTCCCGCCACCTCCTCCCCCCCCACCCCCGGGCTCCCATTCACAAAGAGCGAGCGGAGAGCGCTGCGGCCGCTGATTGGCTGCGACGGGGAAGTGGGGCGGGGCAACGGGCGGGGCCGGCGGCGGGGTGGCCACGCGGCGGCGGCGGGGCGCGGCGGCAGAACGGGCGGCGAGTGCGGGAGGGGGGAACCGGAGAGAGCAACGGCACCAGGTTGAGGGGGGAAACGGCGGGGCGGGGGGGGGGTGGGCAGCACCGGGAACGCACGTCTGCCCGCTCCCCGGTGCTACGGGAGGCCGCGGAGTTCGGTGCGGGGCCGCGGGGCGGGGTGGGAAGCACCGGGACCGCACGTCTCCCCGGTGTTACATGAGGCCCTAGAGTTCGGTGCGGGACCCCAGGACGGGGTGGGAAGGGATAGGGTGGGCAGCACCGGGACCGCGCATCTCCCCGCTCCCCGGTGCTACGGGAGGCCGCGGAGTTCGGTGCGGGACCGCGGGGCGGGGGTGGGCAGCACCGGGACGACCGCACATCTCCCCGGTGCTAACACGAGGCCCTGGAGTTCGGGGGTGCGGGGCCGCGGGACGGGGCGGGCAGCACCGGGACCGCACATTTCCCCGGTGCTAAGCGAGGCCGCGGAGTTCGGAGATGCGGGGCGGGGTGGGAAGCACCGGGACCGCACATTTCCCCGCTCCCCGGTGCTAGGCGAGGCCGCGGAGTTCGGTGCGGGGCAGCGGGGCGGGCAGCACCGGGACCGCACATCTCCCCGGTGCTGAGCGAGGCCGTGGAGTCCGGTGGGGGGGTGCGGGGCTGCGGGAAGGGGTGGGATGGGGCGGGCAGCACCGGGACCGCGCATCTCTCCTCTCCCCGGTGCTACGCGAGGCCGCGGAGTTCGGTGCGGGGCCGCGGGGGGGGCAGCACCGGGACCGCACATTTCCCCGGTGTTACATGAGGCCCTGGAGTTCGGTGCGGGACCCCAGGACGGGGTGGGAAGGGATGGGGTGGGCAGCACCGGGACCGCACCTCTCCCCTCTCCCCGGTGCTAGGACCTCGGTGCGGGACCTCCCGGTGCCCCGGTCTCCACTGGGGGACCCCCACCCGTTCCGAGCTCCACTTACCGGCCGGACACCGTGTTCCTACCGCCCAACTCCCCGGTGCAGCCTCCCGGGGCGGCCCCAGCTGCCCCCCTGCCGGTTCCCGGTGGCTCGGTTGGGGGGGTGGGGTGTCACCCGTGGCTGGGGGGGACTCAAAGAAGGGCTGGTGGTCCTTCCCCTCCTGACCTTCTGCTTTCTCCCTCACAGGAGCTTCACCACCACCATGTCCGTCAGCAGCCACGAGAACAGGAAATCCCGCTCGAGCTCCGGCTCCATGAACATCCACCTCTTCCACAAACCGGGCCACGCCGACAGCCTCCTCACCCAGCTCAACCTGCTCCGCAAGAGGCACCTCTTCACCGACGTGGGGCTACGGGCGGGCAACCAGGCCTTCCACTGCCACCGGGCCGTCCTGGCCTCCTGCAGCCGC